CCCGAGGAGCGGTGCCCCACGCTGTCCCGGCAGAGCAGCGCCTCGGGGCTGCAGGGGCCCTCCACGCCCTCCTTCCCCGTATCGCCAGCCTACTACCCCGGCCTGAGCAGCCCGCAGTCCTCCAGCCCAGACTCGGGCACCTACCGGCAGGGCAGCCCCACGCCGCAGCCCGCGCTGCCCGAGAAGCGGAGGATGTCGGCGGGCGACCGTGCCCACAGCCTGCCCAGCTACGCCACGGTCAACGGCAAGACATCCTCGCCCGTGTCCAGCGGCATGTCCAGCCCCGGGGGCGGGAGCACCGTGGCCTTCCCCCACACCCTGCCGGACTTCTCCAAGTTCTCCATGCTAGGTAAGGACCCGGGGCAGGCGGGAAGGGACCTCTCGGGTCTGGTTTGTAGGGCTTGTAGGGCTCTGCTGGCTGCCCCGTGGCACCGGGAAGGGATGCTTCCCCCTCCTCAGCGTGGCCCGGCCTGGGGGGTTTCCCTTCGCTCTGCAGCGATCCTGTCTGAAAGATCAGGATTATGGGATGATACGGAAGTCACCTAGTCTAGCTGCTCAAGGCAGGATCAGGCCCGATGAAACCGTCCCGAGCGTGTCCCTCCAACCTGCTCCTGGATGTTTCCAAGGATGGAGATTGCATCGCTTCTCCACCTCTTCCAAGGCTGTGAGAGAGCCCTGCCTCAGTTTCCCCTGAGGCCACTGCTCCTCGTGCGGTGTCCCGTGCAGTCTTCCCCTCCCCTCCTTGCAGTGCATCCCTCCTGCGACGGCCATGGAGCGGGTCGTGTGGTCTCGGCTCCGGTGCACGCAGTCCTCGCTCGGGCGTAGCTCCCAGTCAAGTCGCTGGCAGGGCCTGGGGAGGATCTGATGGACTTCGATGCCTATCCTAGATTGCTTCCATCCTGCCACCGCTCCAGGGCTCGCGTACAGCACCCTGGCCTGCTCCATTAGCTCGCCTCCCTCCTGCCCATCCGGTCCCATGGCTGAGCTTCCTCCGGCCCATCCTCCCCTCCGCCACGGGGCCCTTGCCCTGCAGCTCGCGGGGCAGCTGGGGACGGCGACCTGCCCCCCGGGCTCCTTCCCTCGTGTCCACATAGGTGATGGCTTGGGGGCAGAGGTCCCATCCGGTGTTTTTATTCTTCTAAAAACAGCTCTTGGAGGATCAAAACAGGAAAGCGCGGTGGAGAAGCAAAGGCAGAAACACCCCGGCTCGGGGATGGAGGAGAAGCCGGGGATGCTTGATCTCCAGGCCTCCTTGCGTAGAGGATCATAGATCCTCTAAGGACCGGGCATGTGCGGGGAGGAAAGGGGGGCACGGGGAGCTCTGGGGCAGGGAGCGAGGGCCAGATCGGAAATGCTGGAGGAACGGGGGAAAACCCTGCTCGGACCCGGGCACTCGCCTTGCTAGCTCCTTTGGTTTCCTCTCTGACACCTCGGGGTTTCTCTGGAGCTCAGGGCACCCTTCAGAGGATCTTGCATCACCTGGTTGCACGTCCCCGGTTGAGAAGAGCTGGTTTAAAGAGAGAAATGGGGGGAAAAACCCTGGCCAGGCCCAGTTTTTTCTCCCTTGATCTCATCCATGGGCTGCTTGCCTTTTCCACCCTGCCCATTTCCATCAGGGTCCCGGCTGCAGCTTCTCCTCCCCGAGCCGGCGCCCACGTAGCAACCAGCAAAACACTGGGAAACAACACGCAGACGGGGTGGGGGACCGGGAGGTGCCCCATTGCAAACCCCAGCTCATGCCTTCAGTCTCATCACCCAGTTGTGGAGGTTTCCCTGCTTTGGGAGTACTGGGGACTCTGGTTTCCCGGCTTCGGGAGCTTTGCCGGCTTCTGCTGGCTCGGAGCCGCCCCCCAAAACCGCCTGGTTTGCAAGACGTGTCGTGCCCCCTCCTGTCCCAGCGTGCCGGGAGGATGCTTACGGCCCTGCTCCATGCAGGTGTCAGCTCACGGGCTCGGGAAATGTTGGCCGCGTTGCGAGTGCTAGGAGGAGAGGAGCCTGGGCTCGGGGTCTGAGCGGTGCCTCGGTTCGGGAAGGTTTCCAGCGCGATGCCAGACAGATCCAGGGACCCCTGGGGTGCGGGGCTGCATGTCTCTTGCTGTGTGGCCTGATTTTTCTCTCCGTCCCCCACCCCCCAGATAGCAGCCCCGAGACCCGGGCGAATGTCAAGTTTGTGCAGGACACCTCCAAGTACTGGTACAAGCCGGAGATTTCCAGGGACCAGGGTGAGTGGGCAGCCGAGGCCGGGTGGGGATTTATTTGGCCCCCTTCTCCGGGCTCGTCCGCCCAGAGCGCTTCCAGAGAGACCCCTGCGGGGGCGAGACCCGGGAAGAGAGGCCGACCCTGCTCTGTCTCCAGCCCCCCTTGGCCGGTCACAGAGCTGCCTCATGCCTCAGTTTCCCCTTCTGTCACAGAGGCTGTGCACTGCATCACGGCGGGGGGTGCGAGTGGATCTGGTGCAGGGTTTGGAGATGCTCCAGGGCCAGGGGTCGTAGATCAGTGCCCCAGATGGGGCCAAAAGAGGAGGGGAAGCTGCCGGGGAAAGAATGAGGGGTCTGGGTGCTGCAGCCCCGGACCCGGCAGGCGCCAGGAGACCCCGTGGTGCTGCACAGAGGCCTGGCATCACACTCACGGCTCTTCTCCCCATCCCTGCAGCCATCACGCTGCTGAAAGACCGGGAGCCCGGGGCCTTCATCATCAGAGACAGCCACTCCTTCCGCGGGGCCTACGGGCTGGCCATGAAGGTGGCGTCGCCTCCGCCCACCGTGGTGCAGCAGAATAAGAAAGGTATTGTGTGCATGCATGTGCGTGCATATGCATGCATGCGTGTGTGTGTGTGTCCCACTCTCCCAGGCACGAGCTGATGCAGCTATAGCAGTGGCGGGGGGCTGGAGCTGCCCCCCGATCTCACGCCCCAGTGCTCGTGGATGAGCCCCTGGGGTGAGAGGGGATGGGGGATGCAGGGATGTGGCAGGGGGGTCTCCGTGCTGTGGAGGGGCAGAAGGACGTCAACGGGGGCTTCGGGGGGCCTGGAGGGAGGGAGAAGGGCTCTGGGTCCTGCCAGGGTGAGGCTGTTGGCGGAGACCCCTGTGCCCTGGCCCACGGCACGGTGCCACCGGCCGAGACCCGCATGGGCTTTTTGCCCGTCAGCTCCTCCTCTTCTCCCCCCAGGAGACATCACTAACGAGCTGGTGCGGCATTTCCTGATCGAGACCAGCCCGCGGGGCGTCAAGCTCAAAGGCTGCCCCAACGAGCCCAACTTCGGTGAGTCTTTGCCCCCATGCCATGGGGAGACCCAGGGCCCATCCCGTGTCCGGCGAGAGCCATGCGTGATCGTAGTGCCCGGGAGGGGGCAGAGATCTCTTCTGGATCCACTGCAGTTGTGGTCAGTGCAGGGTCTAGAAAGCCTCCCCCCGAGCTGTGCATGCACACGCGTGTACATGCACATGTGCGGTGCCCAGAATAAACCCTTCTGGGTTGGAGGGATGAGCCAGCTGCGGCTTCAGCGAGGACTGAGCTGGGGTGCCACTTCGGTGCCCCCCTTCCTGCGACTTGGCACTGCCCTGAGCTCCTGGCTTGGCCTGCACGGCATTGGCACACTCAGTCTGCTGGTGTCGATGCTCGTTGGTCACCTCTGCTCTCCTTGGCTGCAGCTCAGGGAGGCCGATCCCTTGCTAGGCAGGAGCCCAGGGGGGAAAAGGGGGAGGCCCGATGGAAGAGGAGCGCCGACTGGCCCGGACCGCTGCTGACCTGCGGCCTTGTTTGCTGAGAGCCTGAGATGTAGCCAGGGTGCACGGGGAGGGGTGTCCGGATCCGCCCGGGCCTGGAGGGCACACTTGGCGCATGTTCAGCTGGCCCAGAGAAACAGCTGTCAGCTCAGCATGGAGGGAGAGGCCTGGCCTGGATCTTGTCCTGAGATTGCACATGCACGCACACACGTACATGCATACACATACAAACATACATGTGCATTAATGCACATGCATGCATGCAGCCACACACCTGCATGCCTACGCACATGTGCATACAGGCATGTACACACATGCACATATACATTTGCCTAGCATGCCTGCACATACATGCATACACGTACAGGCACCTACATACATGAACACACATGCAAGCACACACGCGTGTGCCCGTACACACGGGATTCTCCAGATCCTGGGCCTTCGGGCTGCCTTCATCCCCACTCCGGGCAGCTCCGTGCAGTGTCCCCACCCAAGTGAGTGAGAACTTGGCTGGTCCGGTTCTCAGCCATCTGCTCCCAGGCCCCTTGTGCTCTGCAAACCCACCTCCAGCCCCAGCCCACATGATCCCCCCGGCACGCTGAGCACGGGCCAGGCCAGGCCTGGTCTCCCACCCTGGGCACGGGGTCTGAGAGGGGGGAGCAGGCCCTGCTGCTGCCCCCCTGTGCTCATGCACCAATGCAGCCTCCAGCCTGCTCGCGACGGGGACCGGGACTCTGCCCTGGGGCTTTGCCCTGTTGCAATTAGGAAGCCCCTCTCCGGGGACCTGTGCACTGACCCTGCCATCTCCCCCCGTCCTAGGTTGCCTGTCAGCCCTGGTGTACCAGCACTCCATCACGCCGCTGGCGCTGCCCTGCAAGCTCGTCATCCCCGACCGAGGTAGGGACCGGGGACAGATGGGGTGTTAACGGAGCCGCTTTGTGCCTCCTGGCTGGGAGAGCTGGGAAAGGGGATGGGGAACAGAAGAGCAGCAGAGCTCCATCCTCCCTGTGCTGTCTTTCAGACCCCACCGAGGAGACGAAGGAGGCAGCATCCACCGCCAGCTCGGCCACCGATCTGCTCAAGCAGGGCGCAGGTGAGCGGGCCCCGTGCCCGGGTCTTGGCACTCAACGATGAGGGGCTTGCTGCACCTTGGGGCAGCTGTTTTCCACATGTTCACTCCCTGCATGAGACAGGCAGCTTGTAGTCCTGCCGCCATCCCCATGACAGCCCCCGGGGGGTGTTTTTTAAGAAGAGAAGGCAATTTAGGGAAAG